CGCAGGACAAAGGCGCTGGCCGGCGAGGCATCGCCTAATGCTCAGGCCCGAGGCTGACCACGCCTGGGTGCGGGCAGCCTGGCCAGGCCCTCCGCCAGCGGCAAGAGTGAGGCGGGCTGATGTGGAGCCCAAGCGCTGTCTCAGCTCCGGCATTGAGAACCCACTGCCCTGAGGCAGAGCTCCTCGTGGCTCCAGCAGATATCTGTTTCTGAGCCGAGGATGTAGTCTCTTTAGGCTCAAAGAAACACTGGACATCATTACCAGAGAAACCGCTCACCCTCACCCTCGTAGGCACTGGCGTGGCGTCACGATCACGTGCTCCATTGAAGGCAGCATCCTCCATGGGCTATGTGATGGCAGGAGAGTCTGTGTCCTCAGGCTTCAAGGTGAAGCCCACACGTGCTGGCTCCAGCCTTCCAGGAGAGGTTTCCACAGGAGGCGGGACTCAGGCCAGCTGTGTCAAGCCCGTTAGGTCGAGGGAGCCTGTGGGGACACAGGTAGCCCCCTCTACACAGCTGTCGCCTCTGCCGCCCTCTCCTGCAGGACCTGGGCCTGTTTCTGGGGAGGCTGCAGATGTCCCCTGGTCACCCCACCTCCCTGTCCTTCCTCCTCAGCCCCTGCACAGAGCTCCCCCAACCACCCCCTGCCCTGCTGTTTAGACTCACTCCTTTGGAGGCTCAACTCCCAGCCACCCGGGGGCGCAAGGGTTTGCGGCCCTCTGGGCGAGCTGCACTGCCCGTGTGCCCTCATGCCTTCGCACCCAGCATGTGCCCATGGCGAGACTCAGGTGCCCTGTGGAGGACAGGTGGCACCCCAGAGCTATCCGCAGCGCCCTGGCAGGCGAAGCCAAGCCGGCCTGGCAGGCTGATGAGCTTCCTGGGAAGAGGGGCGTTGGCACACAGCTCATTAGCCCGTGCCAGCGTTGTCAGGCCACTGGAGTCCCCACCTGGGTGTGGCCTCCTGGCAGGAACCAAGTCCTGGCGCTGACCACAGGAAGGAGGCCGGGCTGCCGGCTGGCGGGCGTAACAGTGGCCTCTGCTCTCGCAGCTGCCAAGGACAACTCCTACTCCCATCAAGTTCTCCGTGATCCTGGACAGTCTCAGGCGCGCCCGGGCCGGGGCCAGCAGCAGCTACCGCAGTTCCTCAGCTCGCCCGCTTGAAGACGGAGGTGGTGGTGGCGGTGAAGAGGGTGGGTGGGCGGGGAGTGGCAGCGAGTGGAGGGGCGGCGTGAGCTGAGGTGATGGGAGGCAGGGGAGTGGTTGGGAACAGGCTGGGGGTGACAGTTGGTGGAATGAGGTGAGAGTGAGATGGGAGTGGGGCGGTGAGCTGGGGTGGGCGGTGGGCTTCAGGGTGGCGGTGAGCTGGGGAGTGGTTGGTGAGCTAAATTAATTGAGTGAGCTGGGAAATTGGTTATTGACTGGGGGGCGTGGTAGTGAGCTGGGGGGTGGTTGGTGAGCTGGGGGAGGTGGTGAGCTGGGGGGTGGGCAGTGGAGGCTGGGGGTGGGCGGTGAGCTGGGGAGTGAAGCGGTGAGCTGGGGGTGGGCGGTGAGCTGGAGGGTGGGCGGTGAGATGGGGGTGGGTGGTGAGATGGGGGCGGGTGGTGAGATGGGGGGCACTTGGATCCATGGGGGTTCGGGGGGTGCAAGGCCATGGGGGGCACCCGGCAGGACAGAAGGGGAGGCTCTGTGGGGGGTGGGCAGGGGTGCAGAGCTCTGGAGCAGGGCTTGGAGGGCAAACAGTGATTGCAGGTGGGGAAGGCCAAACTGCCCCACGCTGGCAGAGGACGCAGAATCTCAACGGTCAGGCGTGTTCAGCGGCCCCGTCAAGGCGTCATGGACCCGGAAGACGCAGGACTTCACTGTCACCCTTCAGCCCCACGACCGAGCCTCTACTTACTCCGACCCGGCTCCAGGTGGTGCTCTTTGAAAGGTGTGGCTCTGGCTCTGCAAGTTCAGCTGGGCCCAGCCTGGCCCCAGCAGAGCCTTGCCTTTCGCTGCACTGCCCCACTTTGGAACCCGGAGGGTACCATGGCTGGGGGACTCAGCACCACACTGAGGGTCATGGGTTGAGAGACCAGAGTCCAGGGCCCCACGGGGGGCTGAGCCCGTCCTGCCTCCTTCCCTGAAGCCAGCCCAGCTCTCACCAGCAGGGCCCCTGCTGCAGAGCTTCCCAGGGACAAGGCCACTCCCTTCTTGTCCCCAGAAAATCTCCACCAGATCCTGCTGAAGGGGCCGCCCGTGAGCACATGATGTTCGTGGAGCGGGGACCTGGACGTGCCCTGGAGTCTCTGATGGTGATCCGTATTTGACCCCAAGCACAGAGAGGGTGAGCCTCCCGAGGAGAACAGACAGAGCCTCCTGGTGCCCCTGCCCTGTGCCCTGTGGACGGGGGCCCTGAGACCCAGCGGGGTGGGGCAGGGATTCAGTCTTCTGCCCAGAGCCAGACGGAGAGCCTGCTAACCCAGAGTTCAGGAGTCCGCTGCAGCCCACCCCATGCCTCAGCCTGACCTGACAGCTCCCACAGCCCACACCTCCAGCCAGCTCCCGGCCAGGCCCTCCATCTCCAGAGGCCGAGGAGCTGAGGCCCATCCTGGTGGCCCTGGACTACGTCCAGTTCGACACAGACACGCCAGCCCCACCTGCCACCCGAGAGCTGCAGGTGGGCTGTATCAGAACCACCCAGCCATCTCCAAGAAGGTGCACAGCACTGCCCCCTGGGGACATGAGGCAGCCCCTCTGCCTCCCCTGCCCTGGGCAGCCCCCTCCTGGCCTTGCCCCTCACGGGATTGTCCCCCACAGCCGGGCCTATCTGGGACTTCCTGTGGCAGGTGTGGGAGTGGAGAGCCTGCCCTGGTCCAGGCTGGGAGGTGAGTGGAGCACCCTCAGCTCTAGTCCACCTGCTGGGAGCGGTGCCTGGTCGCCAGCAGGAGCCCATACCCCACAGACCGTTGAGTTCAGCCTGGACAGTGTCACATCCCTGCAGCACAAGGTTTCTCCATTCCCAGGCCCTCCCGGGGCTCCGTGGGTAGCCTGACCAGGCAGAGACCATCAGTATCTCTGGGTGCCGCCTGCGGACACAGTGTAGGTGCCTTCGGGTTCCAGGCCAGCGAGCCTAGGGCGCCAAAGGCTGGGTGGGCTGTACCCTGCCCAATCCCAGGGGAGGAGGTGGCGCGGAGGACCCAGAGTCGGGTGGGCAGGGCAGCGGGAAAGACAGCAGATCTCCCCGGGTGCCCACTGGCTGAGGCCTCTTCTCCCCCTCCTGTCCTGTTCCAGCCAGACCCACCCACTCATGGTGTCGGCCCTGCTGCAGCTAAGGGGGATGTGGAAGGAGACCTACAAGGTCATCTTTGTAGCCCAGGTGGTGACCGGCCCCTAAGCCTCTGCACAGAGCACCCTCGGAGCCCTCTGCCCCACCTCCGGCCTCCCAGGCTGAGGCCAGGCCATCACTATCCTGGGGCAGGACACAGCCATCCTCTGCCAGGCAGATTTCAATGAGCCACCCTCCACATGGTGCCACGGCCACTTCCTGCTGCCCTGGACCCAGCAAGCCCAGGTACATCAGGAGAGCGCCCACTCTTGAGATCCCAAACTCAGAACCAGCGAGAAGGCCAGGCCAGCCCACAGCCGTCCTAGCCAGAGCCCCTCAGAGCCCCAGGAGAGCCCCCACACAGCCTGTCAATAAACCTTGTAGGCCAACACAGCCTGCAGTGTGGGTGACAGAGCACTGAATAGGAGGTGGGGATAGGCCCTGGGGATGCAGCCCCTCCCCCTCCCAGCCATGAAACCCGCTTTGCCTGTAGGAGCCTCCTGGAGCGGGGCCATCCTGCAGGACACCTGTGGGAGGCCACCCCTGGCCCACATGGGGTCGAGGAGGGCCCCCAAGCCTCAGCGCCACAGGCAACAGGCAGGCAGTCAGAGGCCGGGTACTGAGCCTCAACCGGAGCTGAGGCTGACCCAGGCCGAGAGGCCCTGGGGCGGTGGGAGGGCAGGGCTCAAGCCCAGGGCAGGCCCGGGAACCTCCAGACTTTTCCCAAGTTCAGGACCCCAGATGACCCCAAGCAAAGGTGAGCAGATGGCGGGAACCCCACAGCCTACTTATGCCCTCCCCCTCCCAGCCCAGCAGGGGCAAGGTGAGCCAGCTCCTGCACTTAAGTCTCTACTTTAGTCTGAGATAAAGTCTGGGCTCGGCTTTCTGAGCTCTGACCCACCCTTCAACAGAAGACCCACTCCCACAGCCGTGAGATGCTCCCCAGAGCTCAAGAGTGGTGCCTCCACCCCAACCCTGCCTCTGAGTCTGGCTTGGTGGACACTGTCCCCACCAGAGCCCACAACCTGGCCCTCCTGTCACAGTGCGGCACAGTCACTGTGCCACCCCCAGCCAGCAGCCACCAGGACAGTGTATGCAGCCTTCCCTGGCCTGGCAGGGGAGCAGGTAATGGTGCTCGGGGGAGCTTTCCTGGGTATAGGCCTCAGGGATGCTGGTCTTGAGCTGCCTGCCCTCACCCCCAGCCCCCCAGGACCCACAGTGCCTAGGAACTTGCCATTGCCCCAAACTTCAAGCCAGTGACATTGACCCTGCATTGCATTTGCAGGATTCTGTCAATGGAAATTCCTTGCTGCCCCTTCCTGGGGCTGGCCCACCATGCTCAAGCTTGCGCCACACCAGATGGGAGGGGAAGGCAGGTTCCACCAGGTTCAAGCCGGCCCCAGCCGCCGGAGGAGAGTGCTCTGGGAGGCACTGTTTCCTGAGTAGGCCTGTCTTCTAAACTCTGACCCGACTCTCCCTGCTGGCAGGCCTGAGTACTGAGTGGTGAGGCCTGCCCAGGTCCTGTGTAAGGTGCTACCCTCACCTTCGGGCAGGGCTGTGGTCTCAGGCAGTGCGGTGCACACCTCCCATTCTCACCCCGTGCACAGGCCTCGACCAGCCCGCCGGTCAGCGTGGCGGGAAGAATGGCCCAGAGGCCAGGAGAGCTGGGCAGGCAGGAAGAGCCCTTGAGGACCATGGCACAGGCCCTGGGAGGTGAAAACCTTCAGGCAGAATCCGAAAATGGAAGGAGTGATGCAGTGAAGGGGCAGGTATGGGCAGAAGAGCCCACGCGGGAGGAGGCCCCTGCCCTCCAGGGTCACTGCCCTTGTAGGGAGTGGGGCACACTGAGCAGGCGCCCACATGTGGAACAGTTCTGGCAGGCAAGGGTGCGTGCTCCTCTTGCAGTAGATGGACCCTGCCCTTGCTGTGCTGACCACCTCCTTAGCCTGACCGCCGGCCCGACGGTGTGCTGCTGATACGCACGGGGAGCGAAGAGCAGCAAGAGCCTAACAGGGCCTGGCCTGGTGCCAGAGGGATGAGGTCAGGGTCCCGCTGGGAAATGGCCCCGCCTGCCCCTGCCTGGGGAGCAGCGGACATTGCAGGCTGAAGGGTGCTGGAGCTCCCTGGCCCTCGGGAATGAGCCGCATTCCCCAGGTGGGGCACTGGCCCCAAGGCCAAGTGGTTTGGGAAAGTGGTCTGCAGAGCCTCAAGGGCCCAGAGCCAGGGACAGGCTGCAGCCCCCTGGGCCAGTCCCCAGGCAGCACCTGCAGCTCAGGTCCACAATCAGTTCGCAAACACCACGTTCGGAACGCCCAGCATCTTGGTGGCGTGACCCTCGATTCACCTGGAGCCTGCCTGCAAGACTGGACCCGAGGACCACACCCAAGGCAGCCACGACCTCCAGGCCAGCTCCCGAGGTTCCCGGGCCACGCCCAGATCAGCGCCAGAGCAGGCCACGCTCGGCCGCCGGGGTGAAGCGCCATGCCCGGGCTGAGGCGAGACCTACCGTCGCCTCGCGACTCTGGGCCAGGTGGAGCTGCGAAGCAGGGCTTGGGACGGACAAACCCTCTGAACACGTTGGGCTTGGCCCAGTGGGAGGGGATTGCGTTGAGCGGTGTCTGGTGGGCGCGGCTTATGGCGGAGCGTGGAGCCGGTTAGGTGGGGTTGCATTGAGCGGAGTCCAGCGGTGGGGGGGCGTCTCGTGGGCGAAGAGAGCCTCCTCTGGGCGAGACCTGCGGCGAAAGAGGCCTGCTCTGGGCGGGGACCTGCGGGTGGGGTTTACGCTGCGTGGGGCGTCCTGTGGGCGTGTGCCCCTGTGGGCGGGGCCTGCGAGGAACGGGGCTTGCACTGGGCGGTGCCCGGCGGGCGGGGTTTACCCTGCGTGGGAGCGTCAGTAGGCGTGTGCGCTGGTGGGAGGGCCTGCGGCGAGCGAGGGGCTGGTGGGCGGGGTTTACGCTGAGCGGGCGTTCTGTGGGCGTGTCATGTGGTGGGTGTGTCATGTGGTGGGCGGGGCTCCGCCAAAGCCGCGCCGCCGGGCTCTGCTCAACCTCCGCAGGCATGGGCCGGGGGTCGCTGGCCGCCCGCCAGGCTCCGGCTGCTGCCAGTCTTGCCGCTGCCGCAGGTGGGTCGGGCCGCGTTCTCGGTTCGGCCACCGCGGGGCGGGTCGATGCTCGGACCACGCCCCTCGGAAAACTCACCCCTGTCCCCACAGGTGGCGCTGGGCTTCGCGGACGGCAGCTGCGACCCTCAGACCAGTAAGTCGGGGGAGGGACCCGGGGCCTGGCCCCGCCTGTGGGGAGGTGCGGGCGGTGAGGTTGGCCGGCCCATGCCCCGCCTGCTCAGATGCCGCCGTCCCCGCAGGTGCCTGCCCAGGCCCGCTGGAGCAGCCTGTGGCACGTGGGGTAAAAGTGGAGCCGCGGCGAGCCGTCCAGCAGTTCTGGGGCGGGGTCACCGGGGCCAGACCCGCCCGGCCCTAACCTCATGAGCCGCCTCTGCTGTCGCCCAGCCCGATCGCTGGCGAAGTGACCTCGAGTAAGCGGGGACCTTCCCTCCCACCCCTCCCACCTGGCCTCCACGGGAAGCCCCTCGATCCCGCTCCAGCAGTGGGGCAGTCGCTGAGGACAGCGAGTCCTGGGAGTGGGCAAGGCCACCCCTGGCCAGCCCAGGAGACACAGCCAGGGCAGGCCCAGCAACCGGAGAGCCAGGCTTTGTACGGCAGTCTCAAGCGATGCAGAGACATTGTCTGCTTTTATCCTGTTAACCTGTCTTCGGTGGTTTGTGCCCACGACATTCCCCCAGGAGTGCAGGTGCGGTGTGAGGAGTCAGTCCAGTGGGAGGCCTTGCTCTTCTAGGCTCATCCTGCTGGCGGTCCTCTGTTGCTGCTGTGCGGGAGTCACAGCCGGCTGTGTGTCGGTTCTGCTGCCTCCGGAAGCAGGCTCAGGCTCAGCCATCTGCCCACCAGCACGGCAGCCCTGCGACCTGGCCCGGTCATCCTGTGGACAGCGGCAGCCCACTCTGTACACAGCACTGTGACCCCTGTGAGTGCCTGAGGGCCCTCGAGGTTGAAGTGGAGATGGCGAGGGGGTAAATGCCAAGCCCGCCTCCACAAACCCCTCTGGTTTTCCTGCAGCCTACAGCTCAGTGCACAGTACCACTGGGCATACAGTTACCGTACCCTTTGGGAGCCAGACCCCGGACTCCATGACTCCTCCACCTACAGTCTGTGCGCCCCGAGCCTCCCACCCTCCTACGATGAAGCTGTCAAGATGGCCAAGCCCAGAGAGGAAGGGCCAGCACTCTCCCAGAAACCCAGTCCTCTCATGGGGCCTCAGGCCACAGAACCACTCAATGCCCAGGAGTCGGGCCCCAATGCCCAACTACCACCTTACAGCCCTGGTGCCCCTTGAAGGAGGTAGGACAATGGACCAGAGATTCGAGAACTAGCGCTTGGAGCCAAGGGCCCCCAGCCCACCCCACCATCCCACACATTGCTGTGGCCCCAGCCTTGGTGTCATTTTACACCAGCCCCATGGCGTCACCCCCTAGGCAGGCTGCTGCTTTCAGCCTCAGCCCCTGGCCCAGTCCCAGCAGGCCCTCAGCCTGGAAGGAGCCCCCTTGGGCCTGGAGCCTCAGGTGGGGCTCAGGGGCCAGCTGTGGCCCGTCTGCATCTTATTGGAGAGAGAATAAAGTTTGTATTTAAGTGATCTCTGCCTATGTGGGAAGGACTCTGGGACTCAGGGCTATGGAGGAACCACTCGGGCAGTAACCCCCAGTGCAAGCAGGCAGGGTGAGCGCGTGGTCACAGCTGTACCCGTCCAGGCTTCAGGCTGGCATTCCTAGCCCTGGGCTGGGCAATGGGTGGTGTCAGGTGTCCTGGCAGAAATGACTGGGGTTGTGTTTCTGTGGCTGGGCCAGGAAAACTCTTTTCCTTCTCCAGCCCATGCGCTGCCAGTGCCCCCCAACCCTGGCTGGGACAGTGAGGCACACACAAGTCAGGCTAGAACATTTATTTTACTGAACTGGGGGAGTGGGTGGCAGGGGGGCAGGGGAGGCAGGGGCAGTGGCCTTCCGGGCAGGCCTCCATGACTGTAGCAGCTGCGCATGCTGGATCAGCAGGGACTCCCCGGTCACATCATGTACAAACTCTGGGGACAGAGGGGCAGGTCAACAACTTGCCCTGGCTTGACCACACAGCTCCCAGGGCTCCAGCCCACTCACCCTCATAGTCAATGGTCCCGTCCCCGTCCTTGTCAGCCTCCGCCATCATCTGCTCCGCCTCCACCTCATTGAGGGGTTCCCTGCATTCATGAGCACGTACCTGGAGACCTGGCGCTGAGCCACACTCGCCCGGCCCTGCCACGTGCCCACCCACCGCCTGCCCCACCGCCCGGGCCCTACTTGAGCGATGTTCCAATCCAATGCCAGCCCTTGCCCTCTTTGTCGAAGGCGCGGAATGCACCGCCCTCAGCTCGCTCTCCTGGTTCTGAGCCTTCTCATGGTAAACCCCCATTAGTGCCGAAACCGTCGCAGTTGAAGAACCCTTTGTCTGCAAGGAGCACAGCCGGGGCGCAAGGAACAGGGGGCACAGCACTCCCCATGGGCTCTGCCTCTTCCCCCATAGACACCAAGACCTGACCCAGGGCCGCTCCCGAGGCTACCCCACCCCACTCCCGCCAGAAGCTCACTGTCTCTGTCCACGTCCTTGGCATCGGGGCCAGCTCCCACTCTTGAGGTGGGGTTGATACCCAGCAGGCTCATGAGCCGCTCCAGCTCCCCCGTCTTCACCTCCCCGTTGCCCTCTTCATCAAACATCTCAAAGAGAAATTTCCTTGTACTCCTTGATCTGCTCAGCTGATAGAGGCGCTCTGTCTGGGGACACCCACACCCGGCCCATTAAGAGTCCCTTCTGCACCATGTCGGGAAGGGGTCGGAGATACCCCTGCACCCATCCCTCCCGTTGGCAGCCCTTTCCAAGGTGAGTGGTAGAGGAGGCCCCCAGCGCAGAGCAGTCTTCCCGGACAAGGGGTCACACGCCCCAGGGTTTGCAGGGCCAGCAGGGGCTCTGCCAGGCAGCTCACAGGGGGCAAAGGCCAGACAGGCAGGCCAGCATTCGGAACAGCGGGAGCTGCAGGGCCAAGCCCGGAGCCAGGCTGCAGTCCTGGAGTCTGGCAATGGACACTAGGTGAGACAGGTAAAGGAAGCTGAGAGCAGGGTGGGGAGGTGCCCAGCCCTGGCCTGGGCTTCCAGCCCGGGATTGGGGGATACAGCCAGGAAGCAGAGTCTAGGCTCAGCCTGTCAATTCTGGAGAGGAGAGTCAGCACCGGGCCACACCTGCCTGCACCACTGCTGCCCATCTGGGAGCCAGCTTCCAGAAAGGGCTGCTCCACCTGGCCCGGAACAAGGGCTGTGTTAGTGGCAGCAGGACCAGCACTTCTTCCACCTCAGCTCTTCCTGCCCAGGCTCCTGGTAGGTCTCGCACCTCCAGATTCCAAGCTCAACCTACCCAACCCAGCTACTGGGGGCTCCATCGGGCACAGGGAGCAGCCTTACCATGTCAGTGGTTGTCTGACAGGATTCTGCAGGGTGGTGGCACCGAACTCTACTGTGGGCAGAACGCCAGGGCAGTGGTGGCAGCTGAGGTTTTAGCTGGGCCTGGCTGCCTGGGGTCCCCAGGTCAGATTCAAAAGAGCCTTTTATGGGTGGGAAATCCTGCTGGCCCTATTTTGGGACAGGCTCTCAGCCTTATCCACGGGGACCTTCCCCGGCCCGCTTTGGCCTGGGCTTCCCCTGACCTGAAGATGGGCACCGAAGGCCCGAGTGCAGGGGCCAGGAAGAGGCTGAGATGTGGCGGGACCCTCAGGAAAGGAGCTGAGATGTGAGGTGGGACCCTCCCACACACTGTTCCCCTTGCTGTTCCCTCTTCACCGGACCAAGCTCTGAGTCTACTTTTCCAGAGTCGGCCCTCCAGCAGATCTTCACGGGACCCTGGTCCCATGCTGTCATCACTTACAAAGTGAGATTTCTTGTTGAAGGCCCATCCTGGCCAGCTGGTGCCCGGTGGCTCAGAGACTGGCCACCCTCCCATCCTGGTGGACTCAGCATTGGCCCGTGCCAGTATGTCACAAACTCTCCGGACAGGTTGAATGAACAAATGCATTAGGCACCTCTTCGGCCACCTTGTACAGGAGGGCTGAGGTCCACCATTCGGGGAGAAGACAGCAGGACATGGGCTGGGGTGAGGAAAGGGGCAAAGCAGACAGGGCCTGGGGGCTGGGCTGCCCGCTGGAGAGTCAGGCAGTTAGAGGGGGCTATTTGGGGTTTCTCAAGGAAACCTGACCTCCCTTCCACTCAGAACAGCAAAGCTGGCTCCCGAGGGAGCACAGATTGCCCAGGCTGGTCAGTATCAACACGCCACAGTGGAGCACACGCCTGCTGCGTGTTCCCTCCTCAGACCCGCACTGACCCCTCCTGTCTGGGTCTAATTACCCACCAGACTCCCAAAGCCAGAGGTCAGCTCCTCCCTGCCCCACCCAGGCAGGGAGTGTGAGGTTGCAGTGGCAGGGCAGGGTCCTCAGGGTCCACCTCACACCTGCCCCCCAGTTGGTCCAGCAGCGGCATGAAGACTCTGAGCAGGTGGGGCACTCAGTGTCCCCCGCCAGCCCAGCCCTCTGCCTGCCAAAAGCCTGGAAGCTACAGGATGCCTCCCGCTGGGGCCAGGCCAGCTGCTGAGACTACAAGATTGATGCTGAGGGAGGGCAGGCCAACGGCCTGGGACACCTCCAGCCAAACAGGGCAGAGGCTGGAGGAAGCAGCCCTGGGTCTGGTGGGGCCAAGGGAGGCCCTAACCTTCATCCTGGCTGCTCCCTGGCCTCAGCTTTCCCTTGGGCTGGGGAGGGGACAGTTCATGCACTGAGCACCTTCCCCCAGGGGCACAGAAGGCAGGAGCCGCAGCACCCAGGCCAGGGCCATCTGGGTTCTGGCCCGGGAATCAGTGCTGGCCAGCTGGGTGCAGAGACACAGAGAACTGCACTGGCCTGCGTGGCCCTGGACAAGCCCCTCCCGACAACTCTCACAGCCAGTGGACCAGCAGGCTCTGCCTCCTCAATGCCCAGGCCTCTAGCGTCTGACATTCCTGGTTTACAGTCATGAGAGGTTCCAGACATCCTGGTGGGCTTCACAGGTGAAACTCAAAAGCTGCTTGGAGCCCAACTTAAAGCAGAGGCACGCCACCCCGGCCCGCCCTGTCCTGACAAAGGTCGGGAGGAGCAACATGGTCACAACCACCGTCAACCCCTCTCCTCTCCATATAGGCTTCTACCCATGCAGGCAGTACAAGCAGCAGTCAGGTCACTTGCCTCTGTCCGCTCTCCTGGTGCTGGCCGGCCTCTGTGTGGCCTTTGGACATGCCCTGTACCCTAGGACCTGAGAGTCATCCAATCTTTATTTTCCATCTTGTGTCTCTTCTGATCACCGAAGGGGTATTCCCTATAACAAAAATAAAAATAATACAAAAAAATAGGCGGGTAGCGGTGGCTCAAGCCTGTAATCCCAGCACTGTGGGAGGCCGAGACTGGCGGATCACGAGGTCAGGAGATCGAGACCATCCTGGCTAACACGGTGAAACCCCGTCTCTACTAAAAATACAAAAAACTAGCCGGGCGAGTGGCGAGGCACCTGTAGTCCCAGCTACTCCGGAGGCTGAGGCAGAAGAATGGCGTAAACCCGGGAGGCGGAGCTTGCAGTGAGCTGAGATCCGGCCACTGCACTCCAGCCTGGGCGACAGAGCGAGACTCCGTCTCAAAAAAAATAATAATAAAATAAAAAAATAAAACAAAAAAATAAAAAAACAGAAAGAGAGGCTGGGCTTGGTAGCTCCACGCCTGTAATCCCAACCACTTGGGAGGCTGAGGCAGGCAGATCACTGAGGTCAGGAGATCGAGACCATCCCAGCTAACACGGTGAAACTCCAACTGTACTAAAAAAAAAATACAAAAAAATTAGCCAGGCATGGTGGCTGGAACTGTGATCCCAGCTTCTCAGGAGGCTGAGGCAGGAGAATGGCGAGAACCCGGGAGGCAGGAGCTTGCGAGCTGAGATCATGCCACTGCACTCAGCCTGGGTGACAGAGTGAGACTCCATCTCAAAAAAAAAAAAAAAAAAAAAAGAAAACAGAAAAAGAAGAAAAACCCTGTAACAACTGAAAACTGCCTCAGCCACGTTCAGGTACAAGTGCAGTTGTGTTAATGGCTATACCGGTTGTAGCAGATCTCTAGAACCTTTCATCTTTCACAAAAACGAGACCCTCTGCACCCATTAAACAGCAGCTCCCCTCTTCCACCTCCCCAGCCCTGTGCTTAATCCTCCTCTACTTTCGGTTTTTTTTTTTTTTTTTTTGAGATGGAGTCTCGCTTTGTCACCAGGCTGGAAGTATAGCTGGATCTCAGCTCACTGCAAGCTCCGCCTCCAGGTTTCACCACCTCCCAGCCTCCCAGTACCTGGGACTACAGGCGCCTGCCACCACGCCCGGCTAGTTCTTTCTGTATTTTTTTAGTAGAGACGGGGTTTCACCAGGTTAGCCAGGATGGTCTCGATCTCCTGACCTCATGATCCACCCATCTCGACCTCCCGAAGTGCTGGGATTACAGGCTTGAGCCACTGCGCCCGGCCTTCTACTTTCTGTTTTGGAATTAAACTCCAGGGGCCAGGCATGGTGGCTCACCCTGTAATCTCAGCACTTTGGGAGGCCAAGGCAGGTGGATCATGAGGTCAGGAGTTGGGCCCAGCCTGGCCAAGATGGTGAAGCCCTGTCTCTACTAAAAAAAAAAAATACAAAAATTAGCCGGGCGTGGTGGCAGGTGCCTGTAATCTCAGCTACTCGGGAGGCTGAGGCAGAATTGTTTGAACCCAGGAGGTGCAGGATCAGTGAGCCGAGATTGCACCACTGCACTCCAGCACAAGCAGAGTGAGACTCCGTACACACACACACAAAAAGATTTTTGACTCTGTACACCTCCTAGGAGTGGAGATCATCCAGTGTTTGTGTTTCTGTGGCCAAATTAATGTCCTCGAGCTTCATTTGTGGTGTAGCATATGACAGAATAGGCTGCTGCTTCTACTTTTTTTTTTTTTTTTTTTTTTTTTGAGGTGGAATCTCGCTTGTCTCCAGGCTGGAGTGCAATGGCATGATCTCCAGCTTACTGCAACCTCCGCCTCCCAGGTTCCATATAATTCTCCTGCCTCAGCCTCCCGAGTAGCTGGGACTACAGGTGGGTGCCACCACACCTGGCTAATTTTTTTTTATACTTTTAGTGACAGCATTTCACTGTGTTAGCCAGGATGGTCTCTATCTCCTGACCTCATGATCCTCCCACCTGGGCCTCCCAAAATGCTGGGATTACAGGTGTGAGCCACCCGTGCTCAGGCACATCTTTTTTAGGCTGAGTGAAATGTTTTCTCAGGATGGACCACACTCGGTTTCATCTGCTGATGAACACTTAGAGTCTCCTACCTCTTGGCTGTTGGAACTGCTACTGCAATGAACACAGGTGGGCATGAAAGGTGTTTCATAGATGTGATTAGTATTTAAATCAGTAGGCCAGGCATGGTTGCTCACGCCTGTAATCTCTGCACTTTGGGAGGCCGAGGTGGGCAGATCACGAGGTCAGGAGATCGAGACGATCCTGGCTAACACAGTGAAACCCTGTCTCTACTAAAAATACCGAAAAAACTTAGCCAGGCTTGTAGTGGTGGCGCCTGTAGTCCCAGCTACTCAGGAGGCTGAGGCAGGAGAATGGCAACGTAAACAGAGACGGAGCTTGCAGTGAGCCGAGATTGTGCACTGCTCTCAGCCTGGGCGACAGAGCGAGACTCCATCTCAAAAAAAAAAAAAAGTATTTAAATCAGTAGACTTTGGGTAAAGCACATGACCCTCCATAATGTAGGGAGCCTCATCCAGTTAGACAGGGGGCCTTAAGAGAAAAGATTGAGGTCACTCCAAGGAAGAAGAATTCTGTCTCAGATGGCTGCAACGTCAGCTCTTCCCTGGAGGCTGCCCACAGTGCAATCCACCGCGGGCCAATTCCCTCCAACATCTCTCCTGTGTGTGTATATGAGAGATGTGTACATACAGACACACACACATATACATCCCCTGCTTCTGCCACAGAGGGCCACATGAACATCACCACTGCCACTGAGGGTCCCCAGTGGGGAGGGAACACTGGGAGACCCGCGCCCCACTCTGGGGCAGCAGCCTCGGCTGCAAGCCCACCTCACCTGAGCCACACAGACACAAGGTGGTCATTGTGTCCACAGGCAGGACTCTGATGGTCCCTGCAGGTGGTCTGGGTACTTTGTCTGGTTCTGCTTCCCCCCTTCCTGTCGCGGGGGCTGACCCCTAGAGGAGCTCTAGCCCAAACTCCATCTCAGGAGTCAGCTTCTGGGAGCAAGCTGTGACATGATGGGATGTGTGATGGACACCCTGCCGCCAAGCTGCAACCAGGCACCAGTGTGGGACGAGACACCAAAACCCCCACATAGTCACCTGTTACACTCACTGGTGGTGAGTTGGAAGGGCAGAGGTGGACCAGGTAACTGCCGCCAATCCCAGCAGAGGCTACAAATGGCTGGAAGGAGAGAAAGGAGCACTTGAAAGCCAGGGAGTGAGCCCAAGTGAGTGTCGGGGGCCCTCTGTGGTTCAGGCAGTGTCTCTGCTCTCCACTCTGCAGTAGGCACCGAGATTGGAGGCCCAAGCCCAGGACTTAAGTCAGGCGGAGCAGGAGGCCCTGGTGGGGACATCCAGGCAGGTGTCCTGAAGTTTTGATCCCGAGGTTGCTCTGAAGCTTCTGCATTGCAGGTTTGCTCACCGCTCCATAGGAAGAGCTGACACTCCCATCCCCAATGCTGGAAGGACCCAAACCAAGAGCAACACTAGTTTCCCGAGCCCCACCTGCCCTGGGTAGCATGAGGTTGGCACTGAGGCAGAGCTGCCAGCAGAACAAGCTGCAGTCGGTGGGCCTGGTGCTGCCACGGCGCACCT